CCCCGCCCTCGACGTAGCCAGCGCGGTGGATATCGCCGGTGGGCCGCCGATGCCAATCATCACGGACAAGTTGAGCAGCCTCTCTCATGAGGCTTGTGCGTGCTGGTAGGTGTCGTTAATGGCGTTAGTAATATGGTGCAGGTGCTTGGCGTACTTGGGGTCGCAGAAGATGATCGGGTGGATGGCCTGCTCGGTCGGCGGCGCGCGCGGCTTCAATGACAGCGAGCACAGCGGCGCAGCATGGTCGCTGAGGCGCGCTTGTCAAACAAGATGGCAGAATCGTGAGCCATGGTGACGTTTGCGACGACCTCGTGCATGGCGTGCGACGGCGCGCCGATGAATATGCGGTCCATGGAGGACGCGGTGTAATCGGCCCTTTGAAGCGCGTGGGCAAATCCTTCTCGACTTCGAGCCTGGTGTCGAACATCGGCTTCCAGGGCGGCTGCTGCTGCCGAGCTTTGTTGTCAAGAGCAAAGCGTGCGCGTTGAAGCTGCGGCTGCAGGAAGCTGCTCGGCGGGCGGCTGGCAATGTTGAAGTCCCCGATGGCGATGTACGTGCGGGTGCGATCGTTCTGCTCCGCCCGCGCGCGATGGAAATGCCACTCTTGACGATCTCTTGGCGCGGCTGGCGTCCTCGATGTCGTGATTTTGCACGTCCATGATGACGACGGTGTTGCGGGCGACTGCGCTGGTAATGGCGATCGTCTGGACGCGGCCAGGAACGAGCGCGCAATGCGAGATGAGCGGGAGCTGGTTCTGCGAGAGCTGCTCGAGCTGCGTCGGCGAGAACCGCGGGGCGAGCGCGGCGGCGCCGCCCGTGGCGCTGTCGGCATCACCGTCAGGGACCTTGAACTCGGAGAAATAAAACTTGTGCGGGAACGGCTGGGCATCGACTCACGTGCGCAGCAAGGCCTCCGCGCCGTGGACGCCCCTTTTCATGGTGGCGCAGCCGCGCTGCGTGAGCTTGCAATGGGCGGCCTGCTTCTTCCGACGACGGGAGCGCTCGTGGCGCAAGGGCGCGCGGGCGTTCCAGGAGACGAAGCAGGCCTGCGATGCGCTCTCCGAGGCGCGCCGGGGCGCCCATGGGTGGCTGGGAATGCTACTTCTGCCGACTCGGTGTCCGCGAAGAGGGCCTGGAAGGCGGCGGGGGTGGCGCCGCGGTCGATGTCGCGAAGTTCTGGCGTTCGAGCGCCTTCTCGTCCCACTCGAGGGCCGCCGGGTCAGCCTGGACCTTGGTCTCGAGGCGGACGACAGGCAAGACGTTGCAGTGGATCTCGCTTTTGGCGCGGACGGCGCGCCACTGCTTGTCGGATACTTGCGTCGCATGAGCTGGAGGGGCATCTTGCACTGAAGCTCCGCGCGGATCAGATGGGCGCGATATGTCCCGCGGTGTCCGCGGACTCTACGCGCTTCCGCGTGCCTGTTGCATCGCGAAGAGCGCGAGCGAGAGCGAGTGCTCGAGGGACAGCGACTTTCTCGTTGCCTTTGACCTGGAGAATGAAGCGCCTGGCGGGCGCGTCGCCGCGCAGTTCCACCGTGTCCGGCTGGGGGTTGGCTGCGGCGATCCCCTCCTGCAGGTCGTTGAGGAGGAGGTCGAGCGCGATGAAGCGCTGGCTGCCGATGGGGAAGAGCGAGGCCTGTGGCACCCTGTCCCGCTCGGCAAGCCTGGGGGTGTCTGCGATCGGCACCTGGGCTTCGGCGAGTGCGAGGGCGTCGCGCATCTGGTCGATTTACTGCTGCATGCGCTGCTTGACGATCTAGTTCTCTACGGGTGCGGGCGGCGACGTCGTGGAGAGCGTTCGCTCGGCGTTCTGTGGCGAATACGTGTTGCTGTGGAAACTGTCGGGAAATTTCTCGTGACTGGTTAAGGGGCGTGTTGGTCTGGGTCTGGAACCTGCTGGCGTCTAGAGCCACTTCATCTCGCATGAGCTGTGGAAGAGCGGCTAGCGTCGAGGGCTGGGTCGAATCCAAGGATTCGAACGTCAGGTGGCGCTGCTGGTGTAGGTGAACAACCGCCAGGGCCTGGCCCAGGAGCGGCGGCGGCGGCTCCGGCGGCGGGGGCTCCTCCAAGGGCTGCTCGGTCACGCCGTGGATCACCTTGTCCTGCCGGGAGGCCAACGCGCCCATGGTCGAGTGCAGCAGGGCGAAACGGACGATCGCAATCTGCGTGCGCTGCAGGGCCTTCGGAAAGCTGCGACAGCGGTTTTTTCGCTTAGCACGCTGGAAGGCGGCGGCCGCTTCTTGTTGAGCACGCTGGCGTCGTGCAGAAACCTCGTCGGCGCCCATGGCGAAGACTTCGGGCTGCGCGGCAGTGCCTCGTCGAGCGGACGAGCGCCCCGACCGTGATGCATGGGCCGATGCGCGACCTGAGCGCCCAGCGTCACGCGCGGGTTGAAATGCGAATCCAGGCTCTCCAAGTTCGGCGAATGTGCTGCGAGCGTCGGCGGCTCTGCTGTCTGGATTATCCCGATCAGCCCATTCAAGTGCACGTCGTCTTTCTTGGTGGCGTTTACTGGCGGAGGCCTGGCTGCGGGAAGTAGACGGATCTTCTCCTTCGCTGGATGAAGCCACTGCTGCAACTTGAGCGGCAGGGCGCCAGTGTCCAAGTATAATGCGCGTCCACTGCGTGTCCGCATCGAATCGATGAAGAAGTCCTGCGCGCCCATGACCGAGGGAAATAACAGCTGGCTGCCGCTGGAGCTATTCTCGAAACAAAATCCGGCAGTTTCGGACGGCGCGGCGACGTCACTCACGCTGAAGGACGGCTCGGCCAGAACATGGAGGTGCGGAGCGGCGCTCGACGCGATGTGGATGGTAGCCTGCAGCGTCAGAAAGATGAGCAGGAATGGGCGGCCGCTCGCCCCTGAATGCGACGGCAAATCGCTCGAGCGCCAGCTCGCTCCTGAATGTGGCTGGAAGCAAATGGATGCTGGCCTTGGCTCAGAGGCCCCCGTGCTGCCGCGAGGCGACATGGCGACTTGGCCCAAAATGGCTTGAGCCAAGTGCCTCGGAGGAGGAAGGGGGGGACCTCGTCGGGAAAGGCTCTGTGAGACCACCCGGGCCTTCCAGGAAACCCGTCGCGCTGCCGGGGGGGCCATCCCTGGCGGCCCCCCGTCCGTAAGACGAAACCAGAATCGGGGAAACATTGGATCGGGGCAGATCGGGGATGCGCGAGACCTCGCGGCTCTGACGGATGCATCGTTCTCAGGGCGTCTCGGGCGCTGTGGGGGCGTTCGGGAACGCTCTGGAGCGGCCCATCCCGATCCTGGACCTGGTTTGCCCCCCCCCCCCCCCCCCACGCTCGGCGGTGGACAGACCTCCCTTTAGTAGACCGCTCCTTGGTGAAAACGGCCTGGGGCCGAAACCGACGGACCTGGGCCCGCAAAAATGACGGCCGCGATGCCCTCTCGCGAACCGAAAACGGCCACTTCCTTGATCGACATATCAGGGTAGGAGGTCTGTCCACCCCCGGCGCACCCAGACATCCGACGATCTGATTTTGTCAGCGCGCGGCCTCGGAAATCCCGACCCCCTTCCCTGGTGCCAGCCAGCATTTCCCCCCGGCTCCATTTCTGATGGCCCCGTGGTCCGACGACGAGGCCCCGGGGGCCGACGTCGGAGAAAAAACGCCAGGGTCCAACATCATCATACAGCGACCAAAGGAAAGAAACACATCATCATCAACAACATCACCATCACACAGCGACCAACATCATCATCATCAGGCCAGAAAAACGCCAGGAAGAAAAACGCCAAAGTTGCGATAGCGACCTTGACTGGCCCCGCCCCCCCCCCCCCCTCCCCCCTGGTCGCGTCGCGACTCGCGCTAGGCGCCGTCTGGGAATTGGCCACCGCCATGGGGTTCAACGAGGCCTCAACATCGACGGGGATCCAACGCCCCTCGCGCGCGCCCCTCCGAGGACACTGCGCTGGCGGCTCCTCGCATGGGCCTGTTCGAGCCTGTTCGATGCCCGTGCGGGCCTGCTCGATGCCCACCCGAGCCTGTGCGTTGGGCATTCGTCTTGACCCCGTTCGAGCCTGTTCGATGCCCATCCAATCATGTCGTCGGAAATCTGGGAAAGGCCCCCCCCCCGCTCCCTGCGCGGTGCCCCGGGGCCCGATGGCGGGCAAAACAGCTATGGCGGATTCGGAATAGCGCGCACCTGCGGAATGGGAGCTACTACTGCGCCAATTGAAGTCGGAGCTTGGCATGCGACCGCAGCGGCAAATCTCCGCAATCTTGCATCGCAAGTACTAGCAATGGAAAATGCCGGCCAAGATGCAAGCTCACCCCGACAACATATTGCAGACATCAAGAGGCAACTGTTAGACCAGACGCCTCAAGTAGAGGGGCTACAAGACATCGGGCGATTGAAGGACGATGGCGCAGCATGCACCCGCCTGTCAGAGGCCGCCCCCACTCACCGATAGGCAACGCACACCGAAGCCCGACCAACGAGCACAAGGCGCACATCTCAGCAGCGACCCTTATCGCACATCCACCACTTGACCCGCTCCAGACGACCGAGCAGAACTCAGCAAATGACCGGGAGACGCTGCGACTCAAACATCTACTACAAGCGGCATGCGAGAAGCTCAAGGCCAACGGCTGGACCATAGAACAACTCAAAGCAGCCTAACGCGACTCGCAGACGACACAAGACAACGCAAGTGAACTGCTGCAAACTGCAAAATACACCATGCAACAACTACAGGGCGCTGGCGGCAACCCCTCTATCGATCACCATGAGGCGAAAAGAAACGTCAACACACGACATCAAGCAGGACAAGAGTAACCACTGCGATGTGCGGAAGCAGCGCGGCACGGCAAGGACACAACCACCTGACAGAACGAACAGCGATTGCATCAACAGGGACGCGTCTCTGAGCAAGCAATGCGATTCCACTCGCAACTGGAACAAACGCATCCGAACACACTCATAATACTACATGACGGCCCACCATGCACATCGCGACTCCTACCAAAAGACAAGGGGCCACCATCTCAGCAGTGCGACAAGAAGAGGACCAACGCCTCGAACACCAGCAGCACTTAGCAGCCGACCGACGCGGTTCTGCAATTCAACAAGCGGACAACGTCACATAAGAACGCATGCGCCGCGTGATGCAATGCATACATCACCTCTACCGGCCACAACATGAAGAACGCGCACAACACGCTAGAGCACCCCCCCATTGCATAGAACAATGCACACGATCTCGGACAAGGGCTAACTTACGACGCACAACGAACCGCTAGATGCGCACCCCGGCACCAGCGTCGCGAGGACACTCGTGTCTCATGTATTGCACAACGTGAACAGTCACAGGATGCATTCGGCCAAGAGACCATTGTAGCAGCCTAAGCGACGCACGCACTGCATAACGACCGCAACAGGCAGAGGGCAGCCTACTTACAACATGCGATAACCAATAATCATCACACCTCATCCAGGCAAACGCAACCGAGCAACTCCACAGAGACAACCAACGCTACCAACCGCCCACCCATACGGCAGCACAGTACCAGCAACACGCCGAACCTTACATGCACAACCAACACCAAACACTACGAACACATGAGACGGCACATATGCAAGCCAAACGATGGCACGACGAATGCGAATAATAACTCGCGTATATACTACGGCAAACTACAGCAGACCAGTCAAAGATAAAGGCTGCAGAAGTGCCCCCACCAATGGACCGACTAATACCTGGATTAGACCGCGACACGGATGACGCGATCCGAATAGCACGAAGAAGAACAGCGTGACCATGCGCGCCAACCTCGAGATGAATAACTACAGGAAGCTCAAGTACATGACGAACTCCATTGGATCCAAGGTGGGGTCGAACATATCATGGGCGACAACATCGACAACATAGACGACGTAGACGGCCTCGCCACTGCACCGTCGACCCGCTTACGTATTTAGCAGTTCACGGACGCCACGCCAGCGCGGCAACATCTACATCGTTGTGAGTCGCCAGTTCGAACCGACTCATCACATGAACCACCGTTTACACGGACCGAAGAATGCTCGGGCAGACCTCCTTCCTGTTCAAGCCCACAAGACCACACTTCCAAGAGAAGCCTTCCCATAGTCAAGAGCCTACTACCAACGTGCGATGCGCCGTAATACCTCAGCACATCACAACAACAGGAGACAGCTGACCAATACGAAACACTACAGCACTTTGCTGAGGTGCAACCCCTAGCACTGCAACGCACGGTCACCGTATGGGCGAGTCCTAACGATCGACTACCACTTTCCCACTCGCCACCTAAGCATACACCTTAACACGCACCGGCAACGGTCGAGGCTACAGAAGCCACAACTGCAACGGCAGATCCACTGCAACATGCCGGTCTACCAAGGCCAAACAACTAGCAGCCGACTTAGCCCTAGTGGCGACACAATTGAACAGACGCGCTCAGGGTGCCGTCCAATTCAACGACAACTGATTAAGTTTCCAAATCGACGGCCTTGCTTGACAATATCCGTGAGGTCTCAGTACTTTCAGACATGTCCCACCAAAAAGCCTAGAGCGCAGCAGAGCAAGCGACGCGGATCCCACTCTCCACCCGACTAGCGCCCATATTCATCACATCCAGCAGCCCTCACCAAACCACCTGTACACCACCGTCCATCAATCCAACTGGCGTTGACAACAGCAGCGCGACCTAACGAGCTTCACTCTACACCAAGCTACCAGTGCAGCGCTCGAGCTCTACAGTCACCAGAGACCGACTTGTTTCTCAATCCTCACCTACCCTGGCGGCTCACCGCAACGCATTAAAAATATATTCAGCCTGGGCATTCGTAGTCCCCAAGTACGACCAACACATGCCAACCATGCGTGGCTACTACACGGGTAGCATTGCCCATAACATCTACACCGACGTAGACCACGCCAACTTAGATAACACATGCGTCAAGCTTCCAACCGTAGGCAAGCAGGTGCACCCCGACCCAGCCAGCGCCATACACATCCAGACACAGTTCGCACACGCACAGCAACGACACAATGGCCACCATGGGAACACATAACATTGCACTCCGCCACGTACACGGACATGACGGGCACCAATGGAATTAGCTAGCAGATGCCTTTGCAAAACGGCCCGCTGCCGTACTCTCTGACTCAAACGCAACACCAATAGTGGGCAACATATTCCAACAACCAGATAGACGGCTAACAACGTTACTAACAAACCGTCCATTATTATAATGGACTGCCCACCAAAAACCACGGCAAACTACTGCCCCTACCCCATGGTACTCGGCGACGGGTTACACTATCAAACGCCTGTCCGTGCAGAGCAATCACCTCTTACAACGACCATTGCGTCTCACAGCGAATCAGCACGACCAGACCAATCCGAACAACCTACCGAGGACAATGGCACAACCACAGTTCATTTCACGATCGTGGCAGCCAATGCACAACGAACACAATTCTAAACTGCAAGCGGATATGCATCTGTTCACGACCGACATGCACTAGATCACATGGCGCTAGGGCAACACATACAAGCACACGCACTACCTCAGACGATCCACCCTAGTGGGATATACATAACAACAAGGAGCGACTACACCACAGGTGACACACTCATGGACCTTAGTACGCCACACCATCCACCCAAACTGGGGTGCAGCTTACTAGCAACCGCAACGTTACCATACGCAGTGATTTCAAACCAAATGCTATACCCCAATTGCAACCACTTGAGAGTCCTACGCTCCTCACGCGGACTTCTCATCGTTAGGCCTACAGCCCCATTTCTCTAAGAGGCTATTTGCGCGGCCAGGGCGCCACACATACAACACGACACGTGCCACACAGCACAGAGGTGGCCAGTTTTCCACGGCTTGGCAAACACATGACCACCTACCATCATACTAGCGGGTTTCAACGCACGCATGAGCACGACCCCACCACCAGGCATCGGGGCAATTACACCACCAGCAGACCAACAAGCAGGCGACGATGACAATGCAGCACGCGATAGACCCATGCCAGAAGCACACGACCTCACGTGCGTCAGTACAATTCTGCACAATGGCCCACGCACACTTTAGTTAAACAGAAGAAAGGCAGGACCACCAAACACAGAAACAAACTATATTGCCATAAACATCGGCCGGGTGCGATGTATTACTGACCTGCACGTCAACTGCGACCATGATCCAAGCGCAAAAAATGAAGACCACTATCCGCTATACCCCACCTTTGAGCACACGCGGTCGCACGCAGAAGGGCGACAGCAACAACCACCACCCTCCGACTTCACGAAGATACACGATCCTACTCGCCACCAACACGTTGCCAATCTATTAGACAGCAAGCCGTTACTTACTTGGGACACGCCCATCAACGACGATCATTGGCAGACCACTCTGGCACTACACGACGCAGCCGCCGAATGCCTTCGCACTGGCAATTTCACCCCACGCCAACAATACAATATTGATACGATGAAGCTGGTCAAACTACGCCGACATGCAATACTCCTGCTATGACCAGGGTGGCGCCCCACTAATAGCACCATGTTGCACAATCTCAACCTGGACATCGACTACTACCTCACAGGCAGGCCGACGGACCCCTACATTTCGCACTGTACGCAATAACAACCGACTCGGCATACAACGCTGAACTGGCTGTACGAACTTCCGTACACAAGACGCGCACACAGCTGGTACACCAACTGCGACAGGACCGGCCGAACCATACAGCAGCCCGATCCTCCTCATTCCAATACCTCCACGACTTACGCGATCATAGTGCTGCATGGCAACACACCCAAGCATCGCTTCGCTACGGCCCAACCACCAGGAAACGAGCAACCACGGCGCAGTCCATGCCGTACTGTACAGACGACGACTGCAATGCCCTCGATAATGATCGACAACAGGGCGACGAATTCACCAGACATTTTACACAACAAGAAGAGGGCGACTACCACAGACAACGAAGGCCTTCATCCGTCCTACAAAAACGCGATACCTACACCAATCACACCAACCACACTCGACTACATCACCACATTACCATGTACACCAATGCTCATCAAGAGCATCAAGCGCAGGACGCAGCCACGACTTGACCGCCTTACTACACACCTGCTCAAGACTGCCCCCGACAGTACAGCCAGGCGCGTGCATCCACTTCTAATAAAGGCCTCATTGACACAGCAGGAGCCTCTACTATGGAAGAGCGGTGCATCTATACCACTACAAAAAGGCCAAGGGGCAACCAGCAAAGCCACTCAATACCGATCTATCCTACTGGCCTCATACTTACCAAAGTACATTACACCTACGTCAGGCACAGCCTCACCACTCTGCTCACCAAAGCATTACGTCACACACAATGTGGAGGCCTGCCAGGTAGGTCAACCGCCCTGGCAGCGCATGCGGCTTCGCTCACCACAGATTACCTTAGCAAGCACAGACGCAATACCATACGCTACTGCGTCGACATCGCGGCAGAACTTCACACACTTGTGCGCGATACCGTCTTTGGTACCGACGCAACTCATCCCGACTACGCACCTAACTTCTCCCACCACGACTTTCCACAAGCACTGATTCCACTAGCAGGGGCAATGGTCAACCAGCCAGGAATGCTTCGCACGCACGACTGTGACCCACACCTAACAGCTTAACTCAACGACTCCTGCCGAGCAGCTCCTTTCACGTGCAAACATTCTCACATTGCAGCACACCCTACAAACAGGCACTTGCCCAGGACGCCATCTACAACCTCTCCTTCGCCAGGCCGCTCAACGATCTAACAACATATATGACAAGACAACACTATGCGGTACAACTACCAGCACCTGCACAACCATAGTGTTTAGAGTATCATCGAACAGGCACAGCAGACGACGACACTGGCACCAACATCGCCTTCGTCGACGACACGCTGAGACTAGTGCACTGCAACGGCAACGGCCTGATCGAGCACTAGATGTTGGAAATGGCCACTACTACACACGCGTTGCTGACAAGCTACGGGTTCAAAATTGACTACAAGCTGCGCAAATCTGTATCCACGCTACGCTTGGCGGAAAAAGGGCACCGACCGAGCAAAACAATGAATCGTCGTATATACCACACCGGCCATCTACTGCCTCAGCTGGGACCAGCACATCACTATCACGCACATATGCGACTACCTCGGAACCCATTTTAACCCTGCTCGTGCCAGGGCGATACGATCAGCTCATCACGTAACCAAGCGAAGAGCAGCACTAGCACCGCTCAAGGCTAAAAAATTCAAGAACCACCACCTACGACATGACATAGACCCTCAACTAGCCGACGCGTTCGCAGACTGTCACTTGCTTTACCAAGCGGAGACATGGAACGCATTCCGCGAAGCTACCTCTGCATAGCTCAGCGCGGCCAGGAACCATTCTTTCAGCAATGCTACTGAGACCCATTTGCTGAAACAAACGGACTCCCACATCTCAGACCCAGGACTGCGCGCAGTGGAGCAGCGCACTGACTACGAGACAGAGCTACGCCCAAGACGACTCAAATACAGAGCGAGACTGCACACCAACGCACCACACATACTACTGCGACCCATCGACCTTGCGCACGAGCAACACTTACCTACATACGCCATCCACGGCAATGCTACCACTAACACATGGATCAGCATGCCTGCTAATGGTTCACGTTGGCTGACTACACTAGCTACTGACAGGGAGGATCCACAAAGACAGTGTAATACCACGCGCTGGTTGGAACATGCGCACAACGCACCCAAACAATGCATACAGCAGGTCGGTAGAGCCAAACACATGTCGACTATCACATACCTGGACCAACAATGCACGGATACATGGCAACACCACCCATGCCAACTTGGCTTCGACCACGACGACAAAACGTCTTCTCCACCAGTCCAGAACGCGATCTACATGTGCTGCGACTGTGGGCACACCTCTGACGCAGCAAGCGGCTGGACGGCACATCGCAGCAAGACGCATCCACAACCAGACGGCACAACTAACAAGACCTAAGGCGACGTCTGCAAACACTGCAACACGCAATTCTCCGCGCGGCAGCGGCTACTGACAGTCCTCAGGTACACGGCTGCCAGATGCAGAATCTACTATCTGCAACACGTGTCGTCCTTAACATCCGACGCCCTGCAACCACTACAACAACAAGACGGAGCCGACACTAAAGCCAATGAAAGCAAATGTTCAAGCGCATTTGCAATGACCACGCCTGCACCCACGCCAGAGGGTTACACACGACAAATTCGAGAATCATCTGACACGGCACTACCGCCAACAACTACACTCGATCCACTACCACCGTATCGTCGGCCCATTACGGACAACAAGACGAACCCAATATGAACCCAACCTGCATGCGGCTCGTATTCCAGAGTGGCAGACACAACTGCGACCTACACCATCACCTTGAGCGAAACGCAGCCCCACAGCACTTCACTTGCATTCGTGTTGGCCACCTGCCTGACTCACCATTCGACTTAGCAAGACCAGAAGACGCTGACACCTGTATTCAACGCTCCATCAACGGTCAAGGCGCAGCCATCATAGCCAAACCAACTGACAACACCTGGACTGCCAACAGCGAGCAGCGGACAGTGGCGAACATATGGGGTATGTCCAGCCGATCACGCGAGCAGCTAATCTGAACACGGGTCTCCAGCAGACGAGTCCACAACATGATCGCGCCTTTGCACGCCGCCCGCTACACTAAATCACCTGTTATTTGACTCATAAGACAACCGCGATGGCATGCTACAGCGCCAAGCATTCAGCACATACCTCGACTGCGACAACTAGCATCGCGCTCACAAGCTCTCGAATTCGACATCTGCATATTGGGCAGGCCAAAGAAGACACCGACCCGAATACTTACGTGCCAACTTCCCCTCCTGGCCCACAGCGATCATATCCAGACGCAACAGAAGCACATGCTACTGCAGATCGCACAACCTTACCGCGTTCCACAACCACGAACGCACATGCAACATACCGACCGAGCTCTGCCAGCACCTCGCAACCAATCTGGCGCAAGCACTCACATACGAGCCATCATACATATAGAACATCGTCAACACAGGGTAATTCCCTCTGGATCCATACATGGACCACGGCATCACAACATAACAACCAGTGTGTCAGCAGACAATCTCGGTTAGGAATGCTTACTACCGATGAATCCACCGACATCTTCTCAGCGAGCGTCATGACACGCATGCCTTATACCCGGCATGGGAGCTCTCAGGGCATACATCGGGGAGAGGAGCGGACTGACATACGAGTGCTCGCCTCATGCCCGGCATGGGAGCCCACTGGGGCATGCCTCGGGGAGAGACATGCTGAACGCCACGCCAGCAGGACTGCGCTACAGTGCATCTCCATACTCAGTCATTTGTTCATTTACCCTACCATGTCAAATATAAGCATAGAACGATCAATGGATGCACACTGCGCTCGTCAATCATGTCGAATCGCGCTGGGGGCATTGTCTTACCATGCGACATGCCTGATTCGTGCCCGGCACGGGAGCCCAGCAGGGCATGCCTCGGGGAGAAGCATCAAAGGCACCTGGTCTTCACATTCGCATTGCTGTCTTTACCTCGTTGGTATCTTCTGCGCCTGTCTCTTGCTACAAGGCCACAGTATATACGAAACCTCATCGTCAACGATTTCAATTTATCCCGTAGTCCGCCGGCCCCCTTGTGGGACCACCAGGCTGTAGGCCGAAGGTTCGCAGTCTCCTGTGCCAGCTGCGTCCAGTTTCCACTGTTACAGTTCTGCTTCTTGCTGCTTACTGTTCCTTGTTGCAAGGGCTCCCAACTTCGCGCTTCGCGCTGCGCGAAGCGCGAAGTGCGAATAACTTCGCGCTCTCGCGCCGCCTCCCAGGGGAGAAGAAGAGGACGAGGAGGAATCGGAGCCGAACCGCGAAGCGCGAATAACTTCGCGCCCTCGAGGGCGCCCTTGTTGTTGATGGACCGCGCGAGGGGGGGGGGGAGGCCCACACGGGCAGGTTTCGCACGCCCTGAGCGTGTGCTCTGAATTGCTGGGGTGGGTAAGCATTGACTCCCCTCCCGCGGATCAGGGTCAGGGTGCGAAAACACATGAGATTTGCCACATGTTTGAAATTCGGTGCCACCCCTCACGCAGGTCGGCGGGGTCAGGGTCCAAAAACACAAGGGATTTGCCACATTTCTGGAATTCCGTGCCACCCCTCACGCAGGTCGGCGGGGTCAGGGTGCAAAAACACCAGGGATTTGCCACATGTATGAAATTCGCTGGCACCCCTCACGCAGATCGGCGGGGTCAGGGTGCAAAAACATAAAGGATTTGCCACAGTTCTGAAATTCGCTGGCACCCCTCACGCAGATCGGCGGGGTCAGGGTCCAAAAACACATGGGGTTTGCCACATTTCTGAAATTCACTGGCATCCATCATGCAGATCGGCGGGGTCAAGCACATGGGATTTGCCACATTTCTGAAATTCGGTGGCACCCCTCATGCCAGATCGGCGGGGTCAGGGTCCGAAAACCCATGAGATTCTCAACATTTCTGAAATTCGCTGGCACCCCTCACGCGGATCGACAGGGTCAGGGTCCAAAAACACATGGGATTTGCTACATTTATGAAATTCGCTGGCACCCCTCACGCAGATCCGTAGGGTCAGGGTCCAAAAACAAGGGGGATTTGCTACATTTCTGAAATTCGGTGACACCCCTCACGCAGATCCGTAAGGTCAAGGTCGAACAACAAATAGGTCCCGACACTGCTTCACGGCGGCGCCCAGACCTCATGATTTAGCTTTTGCATCTCCCATTATCCGAGACAGGGGGCGGGCAGCATGGTGCGAAGCCCTTACGGAGAATTGAACATCGTTGTTTTGCTCAGGGTTGGGACACTTCCATTGGTGGCTCGTCAGCCACATACTTCAACATCAACGCACTTCAACACATCGGGGAGGAACCAACGAAACCGCAACACACCATCTACTTATAACACAGCTATACTAACACCGCTCAAACCTCCACCCCGACTGCAAACACACACACACACATGCGTGCTCGCGCCTGCCTCATACCCGGCACGGGAGCCCTACAGGGTAGGCCAGGGGGAAGGCCATCAGCAGCACATAGGCCTCACAGCATGCTGAGGACTGCGAAAATCAAAAAGCTACGGTGTAGCTTACCAGCCCTACAAGCACCATGCTGCATCGACACCGACCACCACATCGATGACCACAAAGGCATGCCAGCGTTGGCCTCATACCAGGCATGGGGGCCCAAGGGACATGCCTCGGGGAGGGGCCGCCATGAACGCAAGACGCCACGACATGCAAAAATACCGACACATGATATACCAAGACAGCTTCATACCTGGCATGGGATCCATACGGGACACATCTCGGGGAGAAGTTCACTGGCACACGTCGGTCATACCAGATCGCGTGTCTGTCACGTGCCTGTCGTTCCCTTGCATTACTTGCCAATGTGATGCCCTTTGCATATTATCATTTTCAGTTCTGGCAATTGCAATCTGACCCTATACCATTAGAAGTTGCAGAGACCGCTCATGTTAATCCAACTGGGCATGCGAATCAGTACTCTTTGCTTGTCTGTCTGGTTTGCCTGTCTGGCCTTCGCTGTCCGTGCCCTATGACTTACGAACAACTAACACTACGACGCCCATGCAGACTCACGGGCCAGCACAAATCAACAACTCCACAGTACCAGCACAACAATGCAAGGACGCACATGCAACACCACGACAATGCTAGCATCAACACAAGCGGACAACTGCACCTCCGCCACCTACGACGACTACGACTACAAGACCAAACAACATCTGCCTCATACCCGCAAGGGGCCCCTTACGGGCGCACTTGGGGGAGAGGCACTCGAGCAATGCACGGGAGACGCGATGGCCCGCTTCGCACCTGGCATGGGAACCCTGCGGGGCATACCTTGGGGAGAAACCTAAGGGCACACATCGGTCATGCCGTATCACGTGTCTGCTCCTTACGAAGTTGAAAGTGCTTTATTTTGAACATCTTATCATACATTGTTTCTCTCGCAAATGCAACGTGATTATTTACTGCATGAAGTTGCAGAGACCGTCTATGTTAATCCAAGTGGGGGTACAGTTCAGGGCTCCTTGTCTGTCTGGCTGACCATGGATGTTTATCTTCCTTGGCTTACGAGCGCCCAACAAAGCGACGCTCATGCAGGCTCGCGGACTAGCACATACTGACAGCTCTACATATCAACATCGCAATGTAAGGGCGCACGAGCAACCGCGACAGCATCAGCACCAACAAGAAGAGGTAACAACTCTACTGCCAGCAGCGAGGGCCAGGACTACAAGACAAAGCTGCAACGGCCTCAAACCCGCAAGGGAGCCACTACGGGCATGCCCAGGGGAGAAACACTCCAACCACACACAGGAGCCCGCTTCATACCCGGCATGGCGACCCGACGGGGCATGGTTCGGGGAGAAACTCAAAAACACAAATCGGTCGTGCCATATCACGTGTCTGCTGTTCCTTTACATTATCACTGATGCTCCCCTTCGACATGTTATCACAATGTGTGTTCCCTCGCAATTGCAGCATGGCTGTGCCATACGAAATTGCAAAGACCGCCAAGTCTAATCCAAATGGGGATGCATATCAACGCTCCTTGCTTGTCCGGCTGGCTATGGATGCCCTGGCTAATGCATTCCTAACACTACGACGCCCATGCGGAGATCCAGACTAGCACACACCAACAGCTCCACATATTAACATGGAACTGTAAGGACGCGCCAGCTACACCACGACAGTACCAACACCATCACAAAGAGACAACAACACTACTACCGCCAACGGCATTTACGACCACAAGACCAGGCTGCAACGGCCTGATACCCGCATACTTCGGGGGGAGGCACTCCATAGACACACGGGAGGCGTGCCGCCCGCCTCATACCCGGTACGGGAGCTCACAGGGGCATTCCTCGGGGAGAGGCACACATGGCCTTGGATTTCCATTTTGACAGACACACCGGGGTCGAATCACGACACATCGCTGCTTGTCACAAAGACATGGGCGATCAAGTTGTACCGATGTTTATGTGCACCTACTGGGAAACTCGCTCGGCAAGAGTGACACACGCGAGTGCAAGTTTGTGCGCGAGTTCGAGCAGCGCGGGCAGTGCTTTACTACCTTTCACAACAAGCGCTGTCACCCGCACAACCTGCTTGCACCTAACCACTCCACCCAATCCCAGCAAATGACGCCGCCATAGACCGTGCGATTAAACATGTCTGGCCACAGACTGGTGTGAATGATTGATCCTCCCGCGGCACCTCGCATGTTTATACCCGTGTACTTGACTGCCGCAAAACGCGATCACCATCTACATCCTTCTCTGCTTTCTATTGCACACTATGCTTAAGACTGCAGAGCAGCCAACACACATCATCACACACTATGCCGCAACACTACTGTTCAGAAACGATAAACCTTGCGCCGCTTATAGGTGCACTCCATATGGCGATAGCGGTCACCATGCATGGTGACATAAATTTCCATCCACTCCCGCACATGATGATGCTTTTGCTGTATCTGTCGAGGACTGGTCAGGCTCACCGCGCTTCGCCTGGGTAACAACAATGGAGATATACGTGACGTGCTCAGAAAACGCGACAACCAACTTAAACGCGAGCGAAAGCACATGCTCGAGACATATTACCTCTGTTCAGCTAACAACTACGACGACGACGGGAACGACACACACAACCAACCATACTTAACAACAAGCGGCGCACGCCGACCGATAAAGCACTTGAACGCATAGCTGCACCAAATCAACAATACGACCCAAGCACCGGGACTGCACTTAGAGCGCAAGTTCAGAAAACACACAGACAATGCGA